CATATTTTTAAGTATTAAATCGTATAAAACATGTTAAGAGTTTAAAAAATGAAATGCTGGTTTATTAATTCTTTTTGTCAACACAGAGAAGTGCCAATTTACTGTACTATCATTTCTGAGATCAGATTTTGGAGCCAAATGGTGACTAGTGGGAAAGATAGGCATAACAATTGGCAACCATAGAAGCCCAGGATAAGGCTCGAACAAAGAGGAGATCCTGATGAATAGCAGATGGAGACATTCAATTTGGCCTTAAAATTGGGGCTGGGGTTAGGACAGGGAAGCCTCCTTAAAGGAGGATCATTTCACCAGTTGGATAAGAAAAAGAAGGGTATTCCAGGTAAAGGCACCTACAGGTATCAGGTGAGAGAATGTGGAGAGAGCAGAGAAAAGATGAGAAATGCTAGAAGGATCAACTTGGAGGAGCTCAAGTTGGAGTGTCAGAAGAGAGGGTTCTATTTGACAGTGCTTTCCAGATTACCATGGTGGATGTGTGATTACGGAGAGGAGTGAGTTTGCAGGACACAGGTGAGAATAAAGGGGATGGGGATGAAAGGGGCAGTAGGGAAAAAAAATCATAATTGTCTCGGCTTCATCAGCAAAGTCTAACTGAGAGTGAGAGATTAAGAGATGGAATGCGAGAGGGATACAGCAGCTGGGGAAAGTGTTCTGAAGGAGGTGGAATTTGAGCTGGGAATGGAGGTCAAGTGATAAAGGAATAAAGGTGTGTGTGTGTGTGTGTGTGTGTGTGTGTGTGTGTGTGTGAAATGAAGTGAAGAACTGATTAGAAAGATCAGGGAACTCATGTAGAAAGCAGGAGAAAGTAATATTAACAGTGGGTGAGAAGGTATTGAAATCGAGGCAGAACTGTCCTTAAGCTGCATGTGTGAAGACGGTCTTCATGAAGGGTAATGGGTCAGCAAAGAGCTGCCTGGCTTAGATCAAAGGTAGATTAGTGACAGTGAAGTCAGTCTCATGCTGCTGCAGGAATCAGATGTGTAATATGGGTGATTGGAGTGGAGAGTGCCCTGGCCAAGGCCAGCTCCCTTCTCAAAGTATCTCTATCTTGTCCCCAATACATGGAATCAGGTCCTTTGACTGTGGTTAAGCCCAGCCTTGACTACAGTTGACCAGACAGGAATGGATGCCAGAACTAACAGACTAGATTATCTTTGATATTCTAATCAGCAAACACAAAGGTGGTTTTTCAAGATAGCAGCTGGACTTTAAAATGAGATGATCAAGATAGAGAAAGAGGTTGAGGGGGGGTTGGAGGCAATAAAGGGCATAATTAGCTGATTAAGCTGGACAGAACACAGTGCAATAGCTAAGAATCTGGACTCCTTGGAGGTCATTGTGCCTGGTTTCAGGTACCAACTCCACTACTGTACATTTCCTAACTTCTCAAAGGCACCATTCTTTATCGATATCATGGAAATAAATTTAGTCATTGTGTGGAGGATTACATGAAACATACAAGCGGACAGCAAACACATAGAACTCAACAACACTCAGTAAACATCAGCTATAATGTAGCGTTCAATAGGACAAAGTAATGTTCCATGGAACTTGGTGACTAACTAAATAAATAAACACAGATGACTAAGGAGAAGCCATCAATGGTGTTTGTAAAAAAAAATAAATAGAGAGAAATGGGGTCTAGATTATAATTTTTAAGTATTACAAAACAATATACATGGCTACACTTTTGCAAATAAGAAATCGTGTAGTTTCTCACCCGAGGATTCTGGTTCTTCTGTTTTATTAAGCACAGTAACCTTCAAAGTTTCCCCGTTAACCATCAAAAGATAACCCTCCTCACAGCCGACATACAGGTCATTGGATGAAGTCCAGCAGTGTATAGTTGGGTGTAGCAAAGGACAGAGATCATCTTTTGGCTGAAAGGAAATAGTAAAACCCTTAAGTTAATAATCATGGCATGCAAGTCAGAGAAATACCCAGAAAAAGAATTTTTAGAAAGAAACAAAATAATATATATAAATTCCTTGGCTTTGTCATTTGCCAACAGCTAAGTGAATGTCTAATTCCTCACTCCATCTCTTTCCATTATAATGGATGAGTGAAAGATAAGCTATGCTTGTCCACACATTCTGAATTCTTCAATGGCCATAAGCTATCATAAAAGTGTTGAGTATTAATTTTGGTATTATTTTTTAGTATATTCCTCCCCCTAATATCTTAATCTATAAAAGTTATAGTCTAGCTAAAAACATTCTTTTGAAGAAAGTTTTCACCAATCTTCTACCCAAATGGAAGATTCACTCCTTTCCTTACTCCAGTTCTGCATGAAGCTGGGATGTACTATCCCATAGATTTTCCCAATGCAATGCTTTTGGTTTCTTTTTTTTTTTTTTAATTTTATTATTTGTGTGTGTGCGTGTACTGTCAAATCAGATCTGACTGGTACAGGGGGAGATTGTCCCTCCTTTCCCGGCAGAGCATCTGGTGGATTCGAACTGTGCTCTTCTGGGATTGCAGTGCAGCTTCTTGCCACTAGGCCACCAGAGCTCCCCTTGCTTTTGGTTTCTTGACTACTGCTATCATGGGTACTGACTGTGGATCCAAGATGAAATCCTTGACAAACTCAATCTTGTCTCTGTTCATCAGAATGTTATCCATTAGTCCAGTGGTGAGGAATTTTGTTCTCTTCGTGGTGTGAGATGTAATTAACAGTGAAGGCTGTAGTCTTTGATCTTCAGAAAGTGCTTCAAGTTTTCACTTCAAGCAAAGTTGAATTATTGGTATAATGCAGGGTGGTGATGAGTTTTGTTCCAATTCTGATGCCACCTTACTCTTCACATAATCCAGCTTCCTGAATACTTGGCTCACAGTTTGAATAGGACTAAGAGTATAACCCTGATGCACACCCTTCTTGATGTTGAACCATGCATTGTTTCCTTGTTCTGTGGGGACAACAGTTTCTTGGTGTAGGTGTTGGGTTTGCATGAGCACAATGAAATGTTTGGGGATGCCCATTTTTCTCAATGTCAGGAATAATATATTACAATTCACACAGCAAAAGCCTTAACAGAGTTAACAGAACACAAATAAACATCTTTCTGATATTGTCTGTTTTCAGTCAACATCCATCTGACATTAGTAATAATAGTGCTCAGTCCACGGCCTCTTGTGAATGTAGCTTGAACTTCCAGAAATTCTCTGTCAATGGACTATTCCAGACATTTAAAAATAATCTTCAGCAAGATTTTATTTTGTTTATGTATTTTTCTGTAATTTCCACACCCTGCTGCATGACTGTGTAGATTGTTTTGTTTTGTTTTGTTTTTAAGTGAATAAAACTGGATCTCTTCCAGTGTGTTAGCCAGGTAGCTGTTTTCCAAATTTCCCAGCATCGATTAATGAGCAGTTCCAGGGGTGCATCTGTTACCTGAAACATCTCAATTGGTATTCCATCAATTCCTGAGGCCTTTTTACCAATGTCTTCAGTGCAACTTAAACTTCTTCCTTCATTACCACTGGTTCTTGTTCATGTGCTACTTACTGAGACGGTTCTGTACCAACCAACTCTTTTGGTAGAGAGAATATGTACTCCTTCCACCTTCTTTTGATGCTTCCTGTATCATCTAAAATTTTTCCAATTGCTTTCTTCTATATCATAATGAAAGCCTTGGATTTATTCTCCAGTTCATTCAGCTTGAGAAATGCTAAGTGTTTTCTTCCCTTTTGGTTTTCTAACTCTAGCTCCTCGCACATTTCATTATAATATTTTTCTCTGTCTTCTCAAGCTGCCCTTTGAAATCTCTTGTTCAGCTATCTTACTTCAAAATCCCATCCCCTTGCCTTCTTTTCATTTCAGGGTTAGAGGTTTTCGTGTAACATCCATATTATCTTTTCTTCTCTTTTTAATGCGTTTCTTTTTTTTTTTTTAATTTCTTCATGAATGATACCCTTGCATGAACCGTTGACCTGTTTCCTTTCTTCACCTTCAGTCTGAACTTCCATATGAGTAGGTGATGGTCCACTCCACAGTCAGGCCCTGTCTTTGTTTTGTTGGTTGTTTTTTTATTTTCTTGTTGTGTACTGTTGAATCTAATCTGACTGGCACAGGAGGAGATTGCTCCACCTTCTCCAGCAAAGCATCTGGTGCATTAGAACTGCGCACCTTTGGGATTGCAGCACAGCTTCTTACCATTAGGCCACCAGAGCTCCCTTTAGGCCGTGTCTTTGACTTGACTGCAGATATTGGACTTCTTCATTGTCTCTTGCCACAAAAGTTGTCAATTGGATATGGGCCTGGTCCAAGACAAGTTAATGGACATCTTAAATTTCTTCATCTTTGCCTGTTACCATGCTATTCAACCTGCATGCTTAGCAAATAATCAAAGAAGCTGGATTATATGAAGAAGCACATAGCAACAAGATTCAGGTAGGGCTCATCAGGGACCTATGAAATGCAGACAGCTCAGCTGGTCACAGAAAATGAAGATTTGAAGCACTTTTATTGTTGCTGTTCTGCACACTCTTTTATTTTTTAAAATGTTTAAATTTTCTTTTCTACTGATTTGCTCACAAAGTTCATATACATAGTGTTTCACCCATCATTCCCATGCATTATGTATTATGCATTATAAAATCAATCACCATTGATTGGGTCTTGCCCACTATTATCCAGTCTTTTCAGGTCCCCGCCAGAGCCTTCCCATTTGAGGGCGGATGAATGGGGGTGAAAGCACAAGGCTGCATAGTCTGATGCACTTTTTTGAAGAAACTCAAAGATTATAGACTCTAGTATGGATTACACCTCAAAAGCAAGAAAACAGAAATCTTCACAATTACACTGGTAAAGAACACCATGAAATGGAGAAAAGATTGATATTGACTAGGATTTAATTTCACGTGGATTCATAATCAATATCCATGGGAATGGCAGTCAAGAAGCCAAAGGTATGATCGCGCTGGGGAAACTCCTCCCAAGGACCTCTAAAATGAGGTCCTAAAGTGCTAAAGAATGAGGGTGCCAATTTAAAGACGAAAGCGAGCCTGACCCAAGCCAGGGCCCTCTATGAGGTGGATTGATTCAGTGACTGGGATAATCGGGATGGGAGTGTCAGAGACAGTGCGATTGGCACAGGACAGAGCGGAGTTTAGGGTTGTTGTACATAGGGTCGCTATCG